CAATATCGAGAAGAATTTAAATCGCTCAAGAAGAAGTTTGATGAAACAGTAAAAGATGACAAATTCAATTCCGAAAAACATCAGAATGAAGTCAAGACTTATCATAAAGCATTAGTCAGACTGTTGGCTAAAACAAGAGATGCAACATTATTTGCAAGTATTCTTCGCGAAAATGTTCCTATGGATATGACTTGCGTTCAAGCATGCACCGTTGTTATACATCAATGCATGCTCAAAATGAACACCGTTGATAATCAAAAACTATTTACTGGTATTTGCATAATCGTCGAAGGTGCTGATGGTTCATCGTATGAATATTCCAGCGCATCAAATCCGTCGCATAAAATTACATTGACACTTGATAATAATCATTTCAATGTTACTGCATCTGGAAGCAGCGAACCATCAAATAATAATTGTCTTTATGAGTCTCTTATTAGTCAAATTCCGAGATTGAGAACAGTATTCTCCAATGGTACAGCTTTTCGAGAACATTTATCGGACTATATTGAATATGATGAAAATCTTCAGTATACAATTTCGCAAGGATGGCATAAATTTGCAATTAAGAAAGGAAGTTATGGTGGTGCAATCAAGGAAAACAATTACAATCCAGATCTTCTTTATGATCGGCATGTAGCTCACATTCCATATGGAGTGACAAACATTTACAAACATAATCCACATTTATCAGAAGAGACTCACCAACAAATTCAACAATACTTAGATAAAATAGACAATCTTGCTACAGGTGATTTACAAGGCGATGATGCAATTAAAGAAATAAATGCAGTAACCGAAAGATTTAATAACTGGTTGCGTATTACATTGGGCAAACATGAATCTGAATTAAGACGAAAATTGAACAAAACAGTTGCTACATTTCGTGAACGTGTTGTTCAGACGGTGCATAAGAATTATGAAACGACATTAAAAGAGTTTCGATCACAAGCTGAATGTGCTGATCGACATTCAACAAATCCTCATGCCGTGCATGTTGCCGATCGAATAAACTTTACACAAGACGATATCCAATTAGAACAGTTAGTAGATAAATCTACTAAACCGCGAAATGATCCAAATCTTATCGCCAGTGTTATACATGCACAACTAAATAAAGGATTACTAGAAGCTGATAGACGATACAATACGGTAGGTGTAGGCATCGACAACGAAGCGGTATATGTGGCACTGAACCATGTGGAAACTGTGAATGGCCAACAAGATTATGGAATAAGCCAACTTCGATGTAACGAAAGATGTCAATTTGTTGGC